GCACACACGCGCACACGCACACACGCACACACACTCGCACACATTATTATACATGTGCAAAGGCTAAATATTGTCATTTCGGACTAAATGAACACAAACGAAAAATGTTTTAATTATTTTAGTCAAAGAAAACACATTTTTATGCTATTTTGGATTTGGCCACCAGTGCATTCGCGCCACCATCTTGGAGGCAGGGTGCATGATGTCACTGACGCTGCGCATGCGCAGCGTTGGGTGACATCACACGTCTGTTGGGCACAATGAACTTCCAGCTGGTGCCCGCATGCACATACCTGCAGCATCTTTCAGTATCTTTTATGCTTTACCAAAATGCTGGGAGTTCTGAAGCTTGTGTACCCCTCCCTGCTTCCACACAATGAATAAAATATTACATTGCATTTCATTCATAATTTCAGTAGATGATACACTGATGTCCCCAGTCCTCCCTCGGCGGCAGTGATGGGAGGTTTTTTACTTCTTGTTCAGGACTATTGTGAGCCAAGGCTGGCATGATGCATCCTTTATTACATGGGTTTAGAGGAAGTGGGTTGAATGTCTCTGGACGTCATTTAACCTGGAAGACTGACAGCATCTAGTGGCAGGAAAGTACTGGATTGATGGTAAGTATTGCAGCCAGAACGTTTTTTGTTTTTTTTTCTTTTATACCTGCTGGACCTTCCTTTTTTTTAATTACATAGTTAGTCAGGTTAAAAAAAGACACCAGTCCATCGAGTTCAACCTAATGTTTTTCTAAAACTTGGGTTTGGGCATTCTAATATGGCAAGTCTTCACCCAAGGCACAAATAGACAATACACGCTCAGGTACTTCTATCTGTGTGTATTGCAAATTGAAAGCAGAACTCCGGCCAAAAATGTTCTTAACCCTTAGAGTGGGGCTACCCCTTCACTGCAAGGGATAAGTGCTTGTTTTTGTCTAGGTGCTACAAAAAAATAACTTATACTCACCCGAAGTCTGGAATTTGCTGGCTGCTTCTCTGGTGCCTGAAGCCGGTCCACTCATTCGCTGCAACGATGGTATGACCCTCAGTGTCCTCACGTCCTATATGCTTTATAGAAAATGATGACTCGGGAACCTTAGACTGCTGCAGTGGAGGGGGAGTGGCTCCATGGTCTGGTCTAAAGGTGCCAATACACTGCACGATTCTCGTACGAGAATCGCGGGAAAAGCCCGTTCAGCATTGCAGTCATCGGAAGCCCGAGCAGGCTTGCGATGATCGCAAGTACGATATGCCTGTCCAAGATGGGCAGATCATATGTTTTTTTAAAGCACTTTACAACCCTCGCAAGACAAAAGTCTTGCGAGGGTTGTAAAGTGTATGGGCACCATAAGAGTTGTCTGGTTCCTTCTAGATTCTTCTTTTTTCTAGCGCCTAGATAGAAACAAGTACTTAACCTTTGCAGTGCAGTGGTAACCCCACTGTAAGGGTTAGGAAAAATTTTGCCCGGAGTTCTTCTTTTTTTTTTTTATCCAAGGCAAAAGCACTCCACCCTTGGCTGCGCAACTAATTTGTGTTATTTTTAGTGGGGAGCATGGTTTGTGAAGCTAAAGGAATATAAAGTACTTAAGAAGCAGGTTATAAAAATGGCATTTGCTTTGACCATTTTTTCAGTGGGTCATGCAAACAGTAACAATTTAGAAATGAATAGGCAAGATTTTTTAAAATCTTCTTTGTAAGTGTAGGTATAAGGTAAATTGCACATAGCTGGTAGATCGTTCAGGCAGCAGATTGGAACAAATTATACCGCAGTGTGTCCAGTTCGGCACAATGATGGCCATTCATAGACACTCAGTGACTTGGAACAAAGAGGGGGTTTCATCAAGGCTCTTTATTTTATGGGAATACTCTTGTTTAGAAAGACACTGGCGTCAGTGTGTTTACAAATGAGAAAACATGAGGACATGGCAACGTGGAATTTTTTTTTTTTTTTTTTTTTTTCCCCCTCCACATTTTGGGCCTCTCCAAGCTGGATAAAATTGCCTTCACTCCTCTTGAATGAAAGGGTAATAAAGACCAGAGGAAAGAAAAGTGTACCCAAGAAGTGCATCAGACTTGTTGCTAGTAAAATACAGATTTTCTTCAAGCTGGTTTTTTCAGTAGCGGCCCAATATACTGTAATACAGTATTAGTAATTTTTTATGTACCAAATAACCAAGCTAATGCTTCCCGAGTAGAATATGTAAAATGTAGGGCAGACTGTTATAGTAAGGTTAAAGGAGAACTATGAGGAGTGCTTTTCACTCACCTCATAGTTCTAGCCGACCTGTGGCAATGAGACTGTCACAGGCCGGCTCAGTAGATCGGGAGGTGAGCGAACACATACCGTAGATCGGGAGGTGAGCGAACACATACCAGCGTTCGCTCACCTCTCGATCCTTTCACAGCTCTCTCGTAGTGCATTGAAGTCAATAGCACTGCATCCCGGCCCCTGCCCACACATTAGTGCTTGCGTTCTGGTCCAGTGTGATCTGCAAAAATGCTGCAAAAATGCTGCAAGCACTATGGCTGGAATGTGATTCAGTGCGTTCCAGAGCCTGGCCGCTCTGGAACGCACTGTTTGTGGTGTGAGCCGGCCCTAAATCCAGAAACATATCCACAATTAAAATAAAAGGGGTGGTCCCTCCCAACCACCTCCAGTTATTTTGTTTCCTCCGACCTAATAGGAGCATCAAAATCGTTTGTTATTTTTCCATAGTCCTTTTTGCTAGAGGTGTTGCTTGTCTGGGCTTATCCTGGCTAGGATGAACCTTTTTTTGTTAATCTAATTATGGGACCCTCCTTCCCCATCCCATATTTACAAACACTCAGCGATCAGTCCTGAGCGCTTATACTCTGCTCTCCTTCCTTGCTTGTCCGGGACAGGAGGCAGAGCTGGGTGGTGCGGGAGGAGAGCTCAGCCTCCTGTGACAGCGGACGGCTCTCTCCTCTTTCCCCCCCACCGCCCTGCACAGCATCCTGAAAGCTTCTCTTCTCCTCCTGTGTTCCCTCAGATCCCCGCTGCCGACACAGGCAGGGTAGAGCAGCAGGCATCGGAGGGGAGTAGAGAAGCTAGGGATGCACTGAAAATGCGGCCCTTATGGTACTTTCGACATTTTGCCCAAAAGTACAGTTTTTAGCCGAAATTTCGGTGCATCCTTGCTGAATTAGCTTTCCCTTTGTGTGTTTCTCGTTGTGGGTGGTAGGGAAATCTGTACATAATCTGTACATAATTGGTACTTGCACAAAGCACACCAAGCAATTTACTCAGTTCTGTTACTTGGTTACAAGCTGATTTAAAGCATTACCTTTTTAGATGCAGCAAGTTGTACGTAAAAATAAAATCATGTGTCGAAAACCAATACACAGGTAGAAATATGCTGTCATAGAGGTGACCAGGCTGGCCATTTTAGAGGGGAATAATACTTATAAAAAGCTTTCAAGCAAAATAAAATGCCAGGCTTAAATGTATTTATTTATATCGCGCAACCGTGCTTTACATGCTGTACATAAACATCATTCCCTGTCCTTAAAGTGATATTAATCCCTTGTGGGGTTTTTTTGTTTTTTTCCTTCTCTGGAGGATATCCAATTGCACTTGTGTAGCTTAATTTTTTTTTAATACAGCCCATTTAATTTATTAAATGGGCTGTAATTTACACATATACTGACATGATAATCGCATGCAGACATTAAAAGAGAACTATGGGGTAAGTGTTTTTTCCCCAAAGTTCTCTTTTTAGGGTCACGGAAGGACATATACTAACGTCCTCCCGTGACCCAAAGCTCAGTATATTGTGGGCTACTGCCTGCGATTTACGGAGAGCGCCGCAGCTGGGACGGATCCCAACAATAGTGATGAGTGACAGAGTGACAGCTGGCTCAGCCTATCTAGAGAGCCAGCTGTGCTCGCCCCCTCCCCGTCCGTTCCTCCACTCAACGCTGGAAGATTGGAGAGGAGGGGGGAATCTCTTCAGGGAGTGGTGACTGATAGTTACCACTCACTGCAGGGAGACGATCCTGAAGTGAGCTGATCGGCTGCATGTTTCTGCTCACTTCCCAATCAATACAGCCGACCTTTGACCGCTTCTTTGTCACAAGTCGTCTCTAACTATGAGGATCAGTGGAAATCACTCGCCTCATAGTTCCCTAACACTGGTATCGTATATAGTTGCATTTCAATTTGAAATTTGGCAAGCAGCCCCCATGGGAAAAGAGTTTGTCCAGTGGCCCCCAAGTGAATTGAGTTTGAGACCCCTGATCTAAAGTCCCTTCCACGTATACACACTAGGGCTGTTTTAGACAGGAGCCAATTAACCTTCCAGCATTTCTTTTGGAGTGTGGGAGGAAACGAGTACCTGGTGGGAACATGCAGACTCCATGCTGATGTATAGGATTTGAACCAAGCACCCTCAGTGCTGCCAGGTAGAAGTGCTCAGACCTTGCAAAATTTACACTTCTTTTGTATTATACACCCCCCCATTAAGGAATGCACTTTACACCCTGGCTTATGGCTGCTTCCTGTTACTGTAGGTTAGGGTGGAGACCCTGGGCAGTAGCCTGTGGATCCTGGGAGAAGGCCCAGTAATCCCACCCTCTCCTTGGTGAGTTTACCAAAAGACAGGGTGGAAGGTAAGTATTTTCTTCCCCCCTGTTGTTTTATCTGTCGCTTTGTTAAAGGGATTGTGTGGATTATAAAAAAAAAAAAAATCTTATGTTCTTTTTAATTTTGCTGTGCTTCTCAACTCTAGCCCTTCTCAACTTCATCCCTCAAAGACCCCCTGCCAGGTCATGTTTTGCAGAAGTAGTAAACTGGTTGTGGTCCTGTAAGATTTATGTAGGTTTATGTATTGCATCTTCTTTATCAGAATCCCTCTATAAATATGTTTGGGAAAGCAGCAGACTGCATAACAAGTTATCATTAATTCTGACTTTGGAGCTAGTGTGTGTCCTCTCTGTCTCTCATATTTACTCATCATATGTATGTGATGTGCTGTCTTCCTATTATGCCACCACACTGACTGCACTTTTTTTTTATTTTTTTTTTCTAAATTACGTTCCGGTAAACTAGATAGGTGATGCAATCATGACTATTCACTAATAATCCATAACAATGTACCCTTAAAGTATATGTAAAGTAAATGACTAAAATCTAAGTAAAGGAGAACTATGAGGTGAGTCCCTTTCACTCATCCTCATAGCTCTAGCCGACCTGTGACAATGAAACTATCACAGGTCGGCTCAGTAGATCGGGGAAGTGAGCGAACACATACTAGCGTTCGCTCACTTATCGATCCTGTCACTGCAGAAAGCCGTGACAGGGGAGTGAGTGGATTCCCCCTCCCCTGTCCGATCCTCCAGCGCTGACTGGCGTAACGGACGCGGTTGGGGGCGGGTACAGCTGGCTCTGCCTCTAGATAGGTAGAGCCAGCTGTCACTCACGCAGCTTGGTGGATCCAGACATAATTGTCGGGATCCGTTTCAGCCTAGGCGTCTCAGTATACCGCGAGCTGCAGCTTTGGGTGACGGGAGGGCGCTAGTTTGTGTCCTCCCGTTACCCTTAGGAGAACTATGGGGAAAAGCCCTAACCCCATAGTTCTCCTTTTTAAGCATTAATATGTTGTATAATTTCAAAAATAATTTAAATCTTTAAGTGTGCAGTTGTCATTTTACAGAATACTTGGTGATCCTGCCATTAAGGATCAGGCACTTTTCTTTTATCTAGTGACAACACTCTGTCCCCGCTTCTCCTGCATTGTCACCTTGTCACATGGGTTTTCAATGAAGAGTACAAGCCCCTTTTTCAAAACACATTACAGTCTTGTAGGAATTCTGGCTTGCCCTGCAGCCATTACTAGAGTGTACACATGTAGACCAGAAATGGCTTCAAATAGGCTGTGCGAGATCAGCAGCACTGAAATACAACAAAGAATTAAATAAAGGTGAAAAATTTATTTTAAAATGTTTTTATTTAAAAAAAAATCACAATTGTTTGATGCATAATGCTCAATTAAAGCTTTAACACCAAGATGATGAGCTTTATTTTCAGTCATGCAATTTAATTTTAGATCTCATTGCACAAAGCAGAAAACTGTCACTTTTTTTGATTAAAAGGATCCTTATCTCGGTGCGTTCTTTGAGTTGAGCCTACAGTGCTTGGCAAACTAAATGTTTCCTTCTGCCTTTAAAGTGGAGCTAAGTCCTTTTAAAAAAACATTTCTGACAGGTACACCTGATTTGCACCAAAGACTAGTATGTACTGTATGTCTCTGCCACAATAAAGGCTCTTCTGCCTGCCAGCAATGTTTCAGTTGAATGTACACTGAGCCATGCATGTTGCTTGGTTTGTTGTGGACTTTTGTATGATATATACGGTGTTTTCAGTTGGCTGCAGTTCACCGCAAATGCAGAAATATTACAATCCACCTTTTGCACCTGTCCACACGAAGACTAAGAAATATGTCATCTCCGTACAATTTACCAGTAGAATATGCTAAGCCTATTGGTTGTTAAAATATCTTTTTACTATATCTTTTTTTGCTTTACAGTGAGATTTCCTGATGGGCCAGACACTTTTTGCACAGTTAATCACAGAAACGGACATCATCATGACCAACTGCAAAGTTTGGTGGAGACCATCATTGTTAGCCATCCTGCTGTTTTCACTGGCGACAGCAATGAACGCAGAGGAGACTAATAACCGTACGGACAATACTACAGGAACATTGGATTCATTACTCTTCATCACATCAACAGTAGATCATATAATTGTGAAAGAAGGGAACAGTGTGGTCATTCCCTGTAATATCGAGGGGCACCCTGATCCTCATTTCCAGTGGTTCAACTCCAATGGACATCTACTCAAAGAGGAAAATGGTAAGCTTGCTTTAATAAATGCGTCCAAATGACAAAGTGCTGTCATCTTTCATTTAGTCTCTTCGTTTTAGTCCCTATAGAAAGCAGTATGAAAAGGCAAACTAAAGGACACTACAACCAGTCAAGAAACAGAATAAGCCAGCAATTAATACGTTTCCATTCATCACACTATGCTTCCAGATAATTATTCAACAAAACTTAAATTTTCATGTATGTGTGCACACTTGCCTGATTGATTCTCCTGTCATGGACAATGATCAATCTGTATGTCTGTGGTTGAGGTTTTTAAAATGGGGAAAGGTTGGAACACCTGTCGGGGTTTTACTGCTATCCGGCTACGTTGGAGAAATTTGCCCTAACTTTTCTGTTCTGAGGGCAACCCTTTACCAGACAGGAAGTGATGGAAAATCTTCAACAGGTAAACAGACAAGAATAAAAAGCTGACGGAGGTTCTCCTTTTACTTTTTTTTTTCTTTAAATTGTCAGTGATTTCCCCTTACTTCCCTTCTTAGAGACAACCTTTTTACCAGACAGTAAAACCTGATCAGAGCGTTAGTGCTTCACTCTATTTCTCCCCCCCCACCCAAAAAAAAAGTTTTAACTGTAAATACTAGAGGTGCACAGAAAAGAAATTTACAAAACCAAAAATTATATTTATTTTTATTAAATATTTAATTTTTTTTACTTTACTGTTGGGGGCTTTGGGGGAAATATTTGGGGTCTAAACAAATCCCTGATATTTCCATTTTAAAATGGAAAAAGAGATGAGGACTCTGTGCTCTCGATCTCTTTTTCTACAGCTCCTGTTTTATAAATGAACAGGAATCCTCTATACTGAGTGTTCCTGTTCATTCATAACTTGTGGAGATAGTATGTTTACCATGTCCACAATCATGAATGAACAGGAAGTGATGTAGATCACTTCCCATTCATAATTGGGGACACAGTAAACATACTATATCCGTGCTTGTACCCGCTCTCCATCCTGACACGCTGTCACAGGAGGCTGAGTGAGCGGTGCGGGGAGGAGAACTCTATCTCCTCTCACAAATGACTCATCCCCCCCCCCCTGCACAGCCGGCCTGGCCTCGGCCGCGCTGAGCGGTGCATTTTGCCAAAAGTGCCATCTTGAGATCTAGGGCAGTTGTCTTAATTACCTGGATTTACCGGTGTTTCCCAAACTTTAGTGAATTGTGTACCTTTTAATCAAGGCCTCTTTTATTAGTACCCATACTATTAAATGTTAGCACATGTATCACCTACATAGCTTACTACACCATTACATTTGCTGTACTTGGTATCAGATCCCTCTCAATCAAGTCTTCATTCACAAATGTTTTACTACAGCCCTATGAGTACATTTCTTTCATTCCCATCCATCCCAAGAGTGTTGGTGTTCAAATAGGATTATGTCCCAGCCTGCCATTTTACTGTAAAAAAAGAAAGAGGAAAAGAACATAACATGGTTTTAAAATGTTACTTGTTGGATAATTTTCATCCCCATTAACTATCTAACTTCTGAGGTTTGGATAGCCTAGATTTATAGTATTTTAAATGAATAAATGCATTAAAATTAGTAGCCTAACTTTAAATTGCCTGTTTGCAACAGGTCAGAGACTCTGAAGTATAGACGTTACTCCCAGGGTTAAGGTATAAAAATGTTTGTAGAATTTTGGAGCCAATCAGTCCAATCTAGGAGCTGGGAAAATATTATTTAATTAGCATTAATGAAATCTGATAAAAGTTTGGTACCAGCTATCACATTGTTTTAGGTGCATTTTCTACTTTCTCTGGGAATATCCATGCACTGCACTGTGTGGGAGATAAAGATTTGCCGTTCTTTAGCATGCTGATGAGGTTTATCTACATTAATCATGGAAACACTCTACTAATGGGGTGAAAGAATTTCCCTGTCATCTGGTCAGACAACAGGCCATGAGCCAAAAACCTGGCATGGCAGAGTTGTATCAAGCTACAAAGCCTCCTCTGATTTCTAGGTAAGCTAAAGAGTAATTTTAGCAAGCACATATTTTCAGTCATTATAATGTTAAAAGGAAAATAGTATCCTCTTGACTTTTTGTTTTTGCAGTACATGGTAGCCCTATAGCTGTTAGGACAACCATAAAATCAACCCCAATGTTTTACTCCCACATTTCACCTCAGGAGTGCCTGCTACTATCTCACCAAAGATTAAATCCTAGTACAGTGAGTGTAAGTCCTTTGCCAACGTTTTCAATCGTCGATTTTAATCGACTTAATCGATTAACTGTTGCAGCTCTAGTCCACGGCCATGTATGCCATATTCCATGCAACAGACTGAATTTAACCTCCAGCTCTGTTAAAAAGTTTGGAGAAATTCCTGACATGATGGCAAGGAGGAAAGGGTTACATTTGCTGGCAGGTATAGAAAATTATCAGTTGGTTGCATGCTGAAATTGAAGGGTAATTTTGAATAACATTGTTATAATTAATATTTATTATTAATAAACCCTAACATTTATTGCATTTAATAGTCCAAGATATATTTGCCAAATGTTATTCTAATTCTTTTTCTGCCTTCATATATCACTGTGTAGCCAGACAGTACTTGGCCTCTCATGCTTCAGGGCCTCATAGCAGTATGATCTGTTGTGCCTATAGTTGCACCCTTAGCCCTCATTCACACCTAAGCAACAACAACATTTTGTGTAGCATGTTTTTGCACATTTTTACATGCTGGAAAGGTGTGTACATACAGTCACGCATTGTTACATAGATAAGTTACATAGTTAGTCAGGTTGAAAAAAGACACAAGTCCATCGAGTCCAACCTATAGAGAAAAAAAGAAAAGCCTAAACAGAACACTATGCCCACAATTACCCAATGTTGATCCAGAGAAAGGCAAAAAAAAAGATTGTTGCAACCAGATTGTGACTCATTGATATAAACAAACCCGCGTTTTTTTGTTGGCAGGAAAAGTGCGACAAAACGCTCAGTGCGAAATGAGGGCTTGGCTGTCTGTGTTCTGGTTGGAGAACTTTTCCCCTCATTTGAGGGGAAATCTCTCTCCGGTGGGCACATGGACATCAAACCATGAAAGCGATTCTAAAAATGTTTTGCCGTAAATTTTAGTTACACAATGTGCAGCAATTAGAGATCACTGATTTTTTTTTTTTAAGGGTCAGCCCAACAAAACAGCTTTGGTACATTTTGGAGAGTTGAATCAGCTAACAGTTTCTTATGTCTTTTCAGAGACGCACTCTGTCTGGGACACTGTTGGCGATATACAATGTATGTGCTTGGATTCCTGGTTCTGCATAGTTGATGTGATCATTATGACCGGGATCCCACTTTCGTAGTGGAATTTAAATGCTAGGTGCACAGAACAGAGTTGAAAACTATGGCAGGGAGATTTCAAAGTTGGCTTACTCAGGGTAACCAGAGGCTGACTCTGCCCACCAGGCTCAATCTATACCTAAAATAATATTCTTGAATAGACTTTGAAAAGTTTTTTGTTTTGTTTTTTGTGCTAAACATTTTAGATAATTTATACCCCATCAGTCCGTTCTTGCTCTGATCCTTAAAACAGACTCTTGTAATTTAGCAAGTCCCTCACTATTCCAATATTGGTCTTTCATAATTTTGAGTAACTTCAGCAAAAATGTTCACAAAAATGTGCTGTATTGGTGGAAATATATTTGTTTCCATTATAACCAATTTAATCAATTCTACTGATGCGTATTTAAGGGGGAAAAAATCCAAATCGTTTTAAATTCAAATAATTGAAAAACAAAAATGTGCTCATGTTAATCAGCTTTCTTAATGTCTGTATAATCTTTATTTTACATGTTGATGTAGTCACCTTTTTAGTATTCCCAACAGTCCCGTGTACAGTATATTTAACATGCTATCCCTAAACCGTTTTCATTGGATTGTGAGTTTCATAGAACTGTGAGTGTAGAACACATTTTCTTTAAATAGCACTGATGGTCTTGCTGATAATGGAAAGCTGGCTAGCAAAATGTCATGCACAATACCAGTATTAATCCAGGAGAGACGGTCTGTGCCGTACTGCATTCATTACCTAGTACAAATACTGCTAGAACTTGTTATTTCAGATCTGTTATTTCCTGCTATTCAGACAGTGTGTTCTGACTCAGGAAATTGCAGCAGTGGTACTGTATTCAGATGTGATCCTAGTCTCTGTGTTCTCTTCAGTAATATCACAGAAGAAGGGAACAAGTAAAGCACATCAAGGGAACTATTACATAAAATGTTAAAAAAGCAGGATGCATAAAGTCGTTATGAATATGAAGTGATGGTTTAATGATTACTACTTGCTACTATTTCCACACTTTGAGGCTGGGTTCACACCTAGGCGTATCGAATATGCGCGTTTGTCGCGACAAACGCAAGTTTCCGAGGGCTACTTGGCTGTATCCCAATGGAAACTAGCTACAAAAACGCCCCAAAGAAGCTCCTGTACTTCTTTGGGCGTAGGACGTTTTGTAGCGCATTCATACGGCCTGTAATACGCCCAGGTGTGAACTATACCCATAGGAAATAATGGGATTTCGGTGTTTGAGCGTTTTGCTGAGCGTAGGAACGCGCTACAAAACGCCCAGGTGTGAACCGGGCATAAGTAATATCCTTTTTAATATGTACTACCGATTTTAATAATCTGAAACTGGAAACTCAAGTATATTTTTGCATTTACGAACACATCTAGCCCTTTTTTGTAGTTATAACTAGCTTTTGTGGAAGGCTATTCTACTTCTACTTTTTTGATATGCAATTTCTAGGTTTCCTTGCACTTGAAGGATAACCATAGCTTTAAAAGTGTCCCAGTACCATCCCAAAGTCTTGCCTGTCCCTATTCCTCTGTGTCTGATATCTGCTGTGTGGCTCAGTGAAAGTTATACAGCTGTTGCTACAGAAATGTCCTTGCTTTTTCTTTCATTATGTGTACCACAGTCCCCTTTCATTTCTGTGGAAAGACCTTCCACTGTTAAGTCTACTTTTCCATTAAAAAAAATTGTAGGTAAAATTATAGCATCATTTTAGTATATATACATTATGACTTTTTGCACACTTGAAGTAATTTATTTCTTGTTCATTAAGGGGCACAGGAATCGGCTATTCAGAGACAATTAGGGTATACTGCCATCTTTAGGAGGATAAAGACGCTGGCAGGTATAACCCCTCCCACTTCCAGCATACTTGGTGTCTGTTTTCTAGATTTTCAAGGCTTTTACCTGGAATTTAGTTCACAAATTCTCTAAAGCCAGCTTTGGGCATAGGGCCCTTCAGGCAGCTTTTGGAGCTTCAGGCTGCCTCTAGTTCTATTGTTTGTTATATGGGCCTGTTAGTGGTTTGCCACTGCTACCCACCCCTCGGCTGGACTACTATTGGATGTCCCACTTGTCTCTGACTAACTGAACCCTGTGCCCCTGAAAAAAATAAATAGTATTTTGTTTGGATTGCACTTCCCATAAATCTATTTGAAGTTCATTAAGGGACACAGTGTGTGTGTGAGATCTACTCCTAATACTGCTGCTAAAACAAGACCTGAAGCATGCTGGGAGTAGTAAGGGTTATATATGGCTGGCCAATTACTTTTTTGTTTTCCAGTGTCCCGTTGGCTGCAGCATAACCCAATTGTCTAACTAAATCCTGTGCCTGTTAAAGAACCCCCGAGAAACAGATTCTGTTTGACTTCCACATTTTCATGCGCTGTTCCATATCGTGTGTGTGTGTGTGTGTGTGTGTGTGTATATGTGTAATACATTTTTATATACACACACACACACACACACATATGTGTATGCGTGTGTGTGTGTGAAAAAGTGTTGGCCCCCTTCCTGATTTTTCATTGTTTTGCACGTTTGTCACACTTTAATGTTTCAGATCATCAAACAAATTTAAATATTAGTCAAAGATAACACAAGTAAACACAACATCCAGTTTTTAAAGGAAGGTTTTTATTAAGGGAAAACAAAATCCAAACCTACATGGCACTGTGTGAAAAAGTGTTTGCCCCCCCCCTGTTAAAACATAACTTAACTCTGGTTTATCACACCTGAGTTCAATTTCTCTAGCAACACCCAGGCCTGATTACTGCCACACCTGTTCGCACCTAAGAAATCACTTAAATAAGGCTTGACTGACAAAGTGAAGTAGACCAAAAGTTCCTCAAAAGCTACACATCATGCCGAGATCCAAAGAAATCCAGGAAAAAATGAGAAAGAAAGTAACTGAGATCTATCGGTCTGGAAAAGGGTTATAAAGCCATTTCTAAAGCTTTGGGACTCCATCGAACCACAGTTAGAGCCATTATCCACAAATGGCGAAAACATGGAACAGTGGTGAACAATCCCAGGAGTGGCCGGCCAACCAAAATAACCCCAAGAGCGCAGCGACGACTCATCCAAGAGGTCACAAAAGACCCCACAACCACATCCGAAGAACTGCAGGCCTCACTTGCCTCAGTTCAGGTCAGTGTTCATGACTACACCATAAGAAAGAGACTGGGCAAAAATGGCCTGCATGGCAGAGTTCCAAGACTAAAATCGCTGCTGAGCAAAAAGAAAATAAAAGCTTGTCTCCGTTATGCCAGAAAACATCTAAAAATGTAAAATATGGTGGTGGTAGTGTGATTTTGTCTGGGGCTGTTTTGCTGCTTCAGGACCTGGAAGACTTACTGTGATAAATGGAACCATGAATTCTGCTGTCTACCAAAAAATCCTGAAGGATAATGTACGGCCATCTGTTCGTGACCTCAAGCTGAAGCGAACTTGGGTTCTGCAGCAGGACAATGATCCAAAACACTGAATGGCTGAAGAAAAACAAAATGAAGATTTTGGAGTGGCCTAGTCAAAGTCCCGACCTGAATCCTATTGAGATGCTGTGGCATGACCTTTAAAAGGGAGGTTCATACTCAAACTTTCCAACGTGGCTGAATTACAACAATTCTGCAAAGATGAGTGGACCAAAATTCCTGCACAGCGCTGTAACAGACTAATTGCAAGTTATCGCAAATGCTTGATTGCTGTTCCTGCTGCTAAGGGTTGCCCAACCAGTTATTAGGTTTAGGGGGCAAACACTTTTTCACACAGGGCCATGTGGGTTTGGATTTGGTTTTCCCTTAATGAAAACCTTCCTTTTTAAAACTGCATGTTGTGTTTTTATCTTTTGACTAATATTTAAATTTGTTCATACAACCCTGTTTTAACAGCTGCTAAAATAAAGGTAACTCTAATATTTAAGTTACATTTTAAACTCTGGAGTTAAATGTTACAAATATATTCAAGTACTATCGGGTAACTTTTAACAATAATGTATCTTATTTGTGTATCACTCAGCTGTAGAGCCTCTTGGTGCTGACAATGTCCTTCCTTCTGGAGGGTGACTACTTTGGTTCCTCATGGTCCCTGTGTGTGTTGTAAAGTAGCAACCGCTCCAAGCTCGCTCCTGTGATGGACTACAATCCCACTACAAATTACTAAATTAAACATGAGTTTGTAGTCCATCACAGGAGCGAGCTTGGAGCGGTGGGTACCATACTTTACAACACATTGATTTCTTTTTTTTAATTATATATTCACTCTATTTCTGGGGTCTCAACATACCACTTTTCTCCAGTGTGACGCACATTGCCACCTGTGCATCCTCCCGTTAGAGTTATATAAAAAGGTTTCCTTTTTATTTACTTCTGTTAAAATCTTTTTAGTTTGATAAACTTTTTTTTCCTTTAGCACTCATTGCATTTTAGAGGGCGGTACCTCATTTCCTATTACAACTCTATAGACCATTGTAATCACTTTTACTTTTTTCTCTTTGCATTCCATCAAATCTCTCTTCCCTTCCTCTAATAAATCCCCAAGCACCCATGCCCAACATGTTTTGCTCCTATTCGTGCTTCATCAGGGGTCTGCAAATTGTGCCAACAAAACCGTACTAGTGCTTTTGTGCCATCACCAGAAAAACAAACTACCCCTTTACTGACTTTATACCCCTTTTTACTGACTTTATACCCCTTTTTACTGACTTTATACCCCTTTTTACTGACTTTACTCCACACACAGAGACCATGGGGAACAAAAGTAGCCACCCTCCAGAAGGAAGGACAGTGTATGCACCAATTCAGAGATGGTTTGAGGATCTACAGCCGAGTGATGCACAAATAAGCTACGTTTTTGTTATTAGTTAAGGTTCTTGAATGCATTTCTAAGATTTAACTTCTGAGTTTGGTGTCACCTTTTTAGAACTGACCGTATATTAAGAAGTCTGCCCCCGGATATATCTCAGACCTTGTCTCAAAATATCACCCTAACTGTCCACTCTGCTCTTCCCTAGACCTCCTGCTTTCCAGCTCACTCCCATACTCGCCTCCAGGACTTCTCTAGAGTCTCTCCCATCCTCTGGAACTCTTTACCCCAACCTGTCCGTCTATCTCCCACCCTGACTGTCTTTAGGCGTTCCCTGAAGACTCTTCTCTTCAGGGAAGCCTATCCCTCCTCAACCTAACCACTGAACCATCACATTCTCAAACAATTCATCCCCACACAGCTACCTCCTCATGTACCATTTCCCCCTCTTTCAGATTGTAAGCCCTCAGGGGCAGGGCCCTCCTTACCGTCCTGTCTTGAATTGTATTGTAATTGTAATGTCTTCCTTACATTGTAAAGCGCTGCGCAAACTGTTGGCGCTATATAAATACTATGTAATAATATTGTACAGTAGTTTAACTTTTTTCCTTTCTATTTTTTAGCTGAAAAATGGTGGATTCTTGATAGTGGCGTTTTAAATATCACCAGTGTTTCTTTCGAGGACAGAGGAAAATACACTTGTGTCGCTACCAATGCCCATGGCACCGTAAACAATACAGTTACTCTAAGAGTCATTTTTACCTCTGGTGACATGGGAATCTACTACATGATAGTCTGTTTGGTTGCATTTACTATAGTGATGACACTGAATATAACAAGATTGTGTATGATGAGCAGTCATTTGAAGAAGACTGAGCAAGCAATTAATGATTTCTTCAGGACAGAAGGTGCAGAAAAATTGCAAAAGGCTTTTGAGATTGCAAAAAGAATCCCCATCATCACTTCAGCCAAGACACTTGAGCTCGCCAAAGTCACTCAATTTAAGACAATGGAGTTTGCACGATACATTGAGGAACTGGCCAGAAGTGTCCCTTTACCACCGCTCATCATGAACTGCAGAACTATAATGGAAGAGATCATGGAGGTTGTTGGACTGGATGAACCAGGGCATACATTTATCAGACAAGGAGCAGTTGGCCAGGAAATCTGTGATGTTGATGATGTCTTCATCATTCCTAATGGTTTGCAGCGGAGTGATTCTCCAGCAGCTGAGTCAGATGCCTCTTCTGTACACGAGCCCCCTCGGCAAATTGCTATAACAGTGTCTGTGCATCCTGTGGTCAAGAAACCGTGTTTGGATACAGACTCACAAGACAGCATACCGTCTAGTATAAAAGATGACTCTACAACAAGAGCATGTACTCAGAATTCTGAACCAATTGCACCTCCGCCAGATAACCCCACTACGTGTATTGTATACGAAAGCCATGTCTAGATAGGAAAGCTATGCATATCACTAATAGACACTTGGAGCACCTTTTTATAGAGAAAATTTTAACAAATTGCCACTTAGCCTTACTAGAAGAAACGACCATTTCTTCCCCAAAATCATTAGTGGCTCACCTGCAGCTTTGCTAACTGAGTGGAATTTTATGGTGTTCAATGACATACCTCCAGATATACACCTGCACTGTTCTGGTGTCCTATAGGAAATTAAGTCTATATCGCACAAACAAAATATAGTTACAGTAGACTATCAAAGTATTTATTATTTTCTGGTTAACCCACTGGTTTCATTTTATGATGTCCTCCTGCCATTAAAATGTGTCATGATACATTTGTAACTATTGTTTCAGATTGAAAAAGGTCTACTGCTCAAGGCTGCAAATGACAGGGAACATTTGCTTTATTGGTATTTCACCTTCAACAAGAAATGAAACTAACCCTGGATAAGCTTTCCAAATGCATTAGTAGGCTCAAGGGCCTTGACAATAGAAAAGCAGCACTCTGATTGTCAAGTGTAAAATCAATATATTATGCCCTTTTAAACAGATTACTGTTTTTTGTTTTTTTTAAGGGTCTGGTTAAGTCATCACATTTTGCAAAAAAAAGAAGCATGAACATTTTTTTTTTTTTTTTTTTCTTTCTACTGATCATGTGTTGAATTAAATTGTCAACACTGTGTAATATAGTGCTTTGAGCTGAGCTCATTGATGTGTCAGAAAATGCCAAAGAGGAGGGCATAGTTCTTTCATCATTTCATAAATGCTAAATATGACAGTAATATGTTCCTAGACACTCCCTAGAAGCTGTACAGAACTGCCCAAATACAGACCTGTTTGCCGTCAAACAGGATTTCTCATTGTTATTTATAGCTTACAGTTTGGGCATAAGCCAGAAGCACTATAAATGTGCAGTAAGAGATCAGAATGTTCCTAGACTTTGCAAACTTTGCTGTTCATCACATCCTGGGCCTGTATTTGTAAACTAGATTGACTGACTGAGCTTTTAAAGTATTAATAATCTACAAGGCTGTCAACCTTCTAATTTAAACGGAATGTGGAGTTTTAGTCAGTTTTGCAATTGCCTTGTTATGATTAGAATTGTATGCTTAGAATAGTGGTGCCCAACTGGCAGTCTTTTGACATTCCTTCACAGGATTCTTTGCATGTACACAACCTTAAAGGACAAACAAAGTCTGAGTAAAGTACATTTTGTTACTAGTTATTTTTTTTCCTTGCTTTACACAGTTACAATTTTTAAAGCAGTTTAATACAGTTTACAGATCATCATATCAGTGAGCACTGCAACCACCCCTAATTTTTATGATGACATATAAGCCATTACTGCGATACAATTCTGCAATTGTATTTAAAAAAAGAAAAACCTTTGCTTCCTTCTGTCTACATTCCACATAGTTATTTGGATATTTAAATGCTAGCCATACTTGTGCATGCACTTCTATATTGCAATGGATGATACCTACATGGCAGAGAGAAGTATATGTAGATCAACTTCAGTAAGTCAGTGTAAGTAGATTATGTCAGAGGTATTAAATGCTTTTGAGTACAATCATTGTTTAGAAATATATTTTCATACGTTATGTGAAAAAGTATAAATACACCTCTCTTTATATGAAGCGCTCATTCACCACAGTGTGTCTGATGCCTCATTTTGCCTTTCAGCACATGAGTCACTGTTGACCTCTGGCTATATTCTACTATACTAGTGAATACCTTTTAAAAAGTGTATAGGAGAACGATTATCGTCCCAATCCTGGCAGCATAGCTTCTTGTGGGAAGACGTGCTTACAGGTACATAAGCTCAATTCTACATATGGCCTTAATAACAAAAACATTAAAGGGAATTTATCCAAACTGGAGCTGACTTAATCTGGAGCAGCTGTGCCCACGGCAACCAATCAGCTTCTCTCTTTCATTTTCAAATCTTAACTGAACAAACTGAAGAGAGAAGCTGATTGGTTGCCATGGGCACCTACTTCAGAATTTGATCAATTCCCCTCACAGTACTCTATGATGTTTTCTTGCCTGCCTTCCGCTCGCTCTGGCCCTGCTGGAAGGCGCCAGAATTAAAAAGGTTTACCTCCGCTGACCTAAATTTAGTATTTTGCACAAACTGCCTTCAGTCGTTTTAATCTGCTTAGTGATTTGGACACATTTTGAAAGGACTATGGTAGTCCAAATCCTTATGGAAATTGATGGGTGGCATGTTCATAAAGAATGGTTGTCTTTAGGATATCCAGAAAGCATCATATAAATGTAGGTTGCCCACATATCCCCTTAAATATGTCTATACACAAAGGTCTTCTACACCACAATAGGAACAATGGGACCCTTGACTAATACTGTGTTTATCTGACTTGTACATACACTACAGCATGAAAGAAGAGTCCTTTACGATAATGGGACACACTACATTCCCTTATCGACAGTGTACAAGGAGCAAAAGGATCAGTGCAATAATTCATAGCTCTAAACAAAAATTCACTTTCCTGAAGTCATACAAGAACAATTGGTTATGATTTTTCTTAGCTTATCACAGTTCTTGTTTTTAAGGTACAGTACCACGGAACAAAAATTTTTATTTTTTTATATCTATGATTGTACTCTGTGAAGCAGGTAGACCCATAATGGTCTATGGTCCAGGCCCTTTTTTTGACAAATGCAGCAATGTGGAATAAGATTCTGTGAATATTTAAATGCAGTTTGCAGTAATCAATTTTCCACAGTTTACTTTAGTAGATTACATAAGCCAGATTCCCTTTATATAGACAGAGCACCTTACCAAAGCTGAGCTGACCGGTGTCTATGCAGTTTCTCAAATGTGCCAGAAAGCCTGCATTTTATAGATCAAGGATTATTGCCCTGCAACACTTTGGAAAAAAATAAAAAGCCACATACATATAAGCTGGAGGAAAATAAAGGGGATGTTGCCCACAACAGCCAATCCATGTCTAGCTGAAGCTTTAATAATGCAGATTAGGAAATCTACTAATCATAGCAATTTGTTCCCATGAGCAACACCTCCCACTTTTTGTTTTCCTGACACCTTCTAGGTAAGGTCTTAAAGTAAAGAAAAAAGGGGAGGTTAACTCGTCACAAGATGACGGGTTAGTAGTGGTCAATTTCAGGATCCGGACAAGTCAGTTGGTTACATGAAAAATTAATTTTATTGAAAAAAGACATGCAAGATAACACATTTGACTAACAATACCAAATTGAACAGTCAATTTGATTATATCCCGGTGTCTCCACCACGATATCCCGAGGCTAAGAAGGAGGAAGGGGTTAAGTGTACACACGGCTAAATTCAAGCCAATATTAAACCAAGGAAAACTTAACCCCACAGTGAAACACCCATCAAAGGAATCCCTAAAGAAAAAACAAATTTAATAGAGGGAAAAGGAACTAAGAACATCTGAGGACATATTTCATTAAACCAGAAAATAGCCATATAGGATCTACCTTATTCACAAGCATCAGTGTTTAAGCACAGTATATAATCTGATTTCAAATGTACGAAGCCTAGGTTACCATTTCAACTTTAATTCACAATATGAAATTACCAGAATGTTTTCCCTTTTGATTGCTCATACCCTGGAATATAGCTTCATCTAGATAGCCCATGTTTATTGATATACACATGGGCCATTTCACGGAGAGATAAGTGGCAACGTGGGAAACACACCAGCTACTTACCCCTTAAGGTGAAATGAATGATAGAAGTGAATGAGGATCGATCCACATTCAATTTACCAGTGTCTGTATTTTTAAGAGGTTTTATGTAGGTATTGTTAGTCAAATGTGTTATCTTGCATGTCTTTTTTCAATAAAATTAATTTTTCATGTAACCAACTGACTTGTCCGGATCCTGAAATTGACCACTACTAACCCGTCATCTTTTGACGAGTTAACCTCCCCTTTTTTCTGCACAAATACGGTCAGGGATCGGACTACACAAGCAGTGGCGGAAACATAAGGAGGGGGATTAGAATTCATCGGATCTCCAGGTAGGAACAAAACCCAATTTGAACAAGGTCTTAAAGTAAACCCATCATGAGAGAGGCCTGCTTTTGATTTGCTTTGCTGATCATGTTATTAAAATCCTAGTTTTCTGTTCTATATAAACTTCATCTGCGCGAGTATACTAGTCACGGACGTCAGAATAAAAAATAAGTATCTGCATACTTGTTCTAGGTTAGTGACCCAAAATATTGATGCCAGTGTCTCCGTGTGACAGACTATTAGAATTTTTCAATGATGGTAGCCTCTATTTTGTTTTTCATGGCAGGTTTCCTGTAGGCATTTTAGTGCGATTTTTATATGATTTCTTTATAATGCTAAAGTATGTCTTCAGGAAAGCAGCTACAGAACCATAATACTTACACCAATGTAAGGTTAAAATGTAACTACCATAAGGTTAGAAGGAATTTATAGTTGTTTATTATCCATTATGGCAGGCCATACATTTTATATACGTTTGTTGTAAATCTGAAGAGTACTTTCATTATTCTTATAAACATTTTTTTTTTCACTAGCATATAAATGCTTTTTTTCTGACCATATATCATGGTCATCATCTTTGTGCACTAGCAAACACTACATGGACTTACCAAATAGCCATTATTTCTGTGCAGTGACAGGCATGGAACTCACGAGCGTGTTTGTGAAACCTTGTACTCAATTTTTGTTTTCACCTCCTCATATGTGCTAGCTGTAAAGCTGTTAAGGAATCAAGACACATTAAACTAACAAGCAATATGAATGTCATTTTGTTTGCTGTTAGAAAGCCTGTTTTGGTAGACAGAGGTCATAAAGAATCACTAAACCATCTTCTTTTTTTACATGCAGTTCTCCTAAATATAAAGCTGTGTATAGGTGTGAAAATAGTCTTATGGTAAGCATTATAGGGCAATGCTAAAACACAAAAAATAACTATAATAAATATGTAATTTAAACAGCCAATGTATTGCCTGTGTATGTCTTTTGTAAGTGCCATTTGAAATGTTTTTTTTATGTCTTGGACCATTTCCTGATTCCTGAGCACAACCTTCACATCCTACCTTACCCTGGTACCCATCTAGCGCCACGTTGTCTTATGTAATTCTAGATGTAAATATAAAAGTGTTACATGAGTTACAAGGGTGGTATATTGTAACTGGTGTGATACAGTAAAACCAGAGAGATGATCGTGATATAATACATTATGAATAAATTGGTGCCTTGTTATTGAAACAGAAGGGTAGGGGAGCCTGATTCTGAGTTCTTCTTTCTTTTTCGAACTCTTCCCTATGAATATTTAGATAACAAAAGCTGCCTCGCCAATCTCAAAGCCCTTTTAAGTAAAGAAGTAGATAAGCAGCAACCTCCTTTTTTATTTTTATTTCCTTTAGTGGTGTTTAAAGTGGACCTGGACTCCGGCAACTTCATCCTTCAAATGGTGTGATTTTGAGTCAGTAGTAATGGTAGAGCACTTACAGTAGGCCTTCTGGAACTGTTCTTCTACATAAGCTCAGTTTGTCATCCTTTGCGCTGCGCTGCAGCTGGTAGTTTTCTAATTAGTGGAGCAACTCTTCCTATCTCACAGACGCATTCTGATGACATCAGTGTAATCCAGAAATTGCAAGGAGTGGGGGGGAATATGCTTTTGATTATGTAAAAGTGCTCATATGATTAGAAGACCAGAGGGTGCCTAGGCACGGTCACATGTGTGAAAGTGTTTTTCTGCTTCTGTTTGTAAAGTACCGTATTTTTCCGTGTATAAGACGCTACTTTTTCATTAAAATGTTTACCTAAAAATAGAGGGGCGTCTTATACACGGGGGCTGAGAGGAGAACCGCGGTTGCGACACTCCCGAAAGAGCCGATACCACTGCAAACTAGCCTCACGAGTGAACTTTCGGATTGCAGAGACAAGATAAGTTTTCCTCCAATCATAAATCTTTTGTACCTGACGTCAGCTGTTGCTGGGGAGAGTGGCTGTGTAATCCACTCTCCCCAGCAACAGCTGACGTCCGGCACAAAAGATTTATGATTGGAGGAAAACTGTTATCTTGTCTCTGCAATCCGATCATAAATCTTTTGTACCTGATGTCAGCTGTTGCTGGGGAGAGCGTGTAGCCAGTGCCCAGAGCTGTAATGTCGGAGCATAACGTGATTGACTCAGAGGTAAGTGTGATGCATTATATCATTTAAAATATTGATTTCCTAATTTTGGGTAAGAAAAGTTGGGGGCGTCCTATACACGGAAAACTACGGTATACACTAAAGCAGGGGTTACTAAATGGCAGACCGTGGCCCAGACATGGACTGAGTGGGGGTTCTCTCCAGTCTGCAATCGCTGACCTGCGCTGGGATATGGCTGGCTGACAGTGGATACACCAGCCTCCGAGGCCAGTACATCCACTGCCAGCCATAACCCAGCACAGGCCCTCCTTCTGCTTCAGTCATTGGCTGCTAGGACTGCTACCTTCTTAGCAAATGTTAGCAGGGCTGGCTACTAGAAGTGATCTGGGCAGCTGCACAGCCACCCAGATCACTTGTAATAGCCACAACCGTGCCACCCCTCTGCCTTGTTTTTCTGGCCCCCCTCCAGAGGAGCTTAGACCATAGCACACAGTGTCAGGATGGAGAGCCGCAGCAGACCAGGCAACGTCTATTCCCAGATCTGCTCTTTGATCACTAAAGCATGAAGCACTGCTCTCAGTGCTTCATCTGTCAGAAGCCAGCTGAAGAGCTGGGTATACTGACTATCAAGCACATTCCTGTGCTTGATGATCTGTGTTGGAGAGGAATCGGAGGTCTAATAGACCCCTGATGTTTCCATAAAGAGAACTTGTCACATAGGGCCTTATCCCCATTGTGCTGGCAAATGTTAAATTACATTTTTTTTTTTATTCTAAAGGGGATTAAGTAAAAAATAATACAATTTGAAAAAAAATAACCAACCCTGCTGCCCCTGCCATCTGATTCTAATGAACCTGTGTGCGTACAGTAAATGGGGGGAAGGGGAGACTTCTAAAAAAAAAAAAAAGTGTGATTCTCCACGATCGGTGCATCAGCCTGGGAGCAGACACCAATAGCTGTGTTTTGCAGTACAGCTGCTGGTGTTTATTCAGGCTAAATAGCAGTCTATGGTATGGACAGGAAATGAGCGACCATTCTGTCCAGACCGTGATTCACTCCTCAGCTCGATAAAAAGTTTTTTCACCAGACCCCCTTGAATTGAATTTGCTACCCCTACACACTAAAGTATTTTTTTTTTGTTTGATTGCTTTGTTACATAAAACATTACTTGCAGGACACACCCATTTGTACTGCTTTCTGCCAGCTTCCCACTAGCTATTGCTGGCTGTTTCTAAGGAACAAGCAATGTGCAGTGCTCACCACATCTTGTAAATAATCAGAAAAAGTCACTGCTATAAAGCTAGACAGCGAAACAGGGAACAAGAGTCCACTTGGAAATTTGCCTTTGGGCGCCCAGGCAGATTGATGCACTGATCACGTGTCTAAGCCTTCTTCTTTTTTTTTGCTCAATGATTTCACAATGTCAAAGTGCAAAGAAATGCTGAGTTCATTAAAACAGCAAGAATGATTTTACAGTGTGTTCATCTAGTTGTCAGAACTTGAATGACAGCTTTTTCATCTCTTGTTTACTGCTTTCTTCAAAGGTGTTTGTAAGAGGAAGAACAGGGGAATGATGAGAATGCGTTTTTCTAACTGTGGTTCCGTTCTGTTTTTATTTTAGTTTACTTTTTGTTTTTAAAGAGGTAAAAAATAAACAATAGTAGCAAATCAATGCAGATATAATTATGACATACATCTGAGTTTGCAATTGTTCAATAACAAGTTCCACAAAGAGAATATAAAAAAAAAAAAAAACACAAAAAGAATCTAAAAAAAGAGGGGTAAACTAAGGCTGGATTAATATTGTGTGTGTATTTTCAACCCATGTATGTAGAACCAACTGAAAATCTTAATGAAGGAATATACACTATATTTCCAAAAGAATTGGGACACCCCTCCAAATCATTGGAGTCAGGTGTTCTGTGAAATTTCCTTGCTACTAAATATTCTGCGGTCAACTGTACAGCAGTACTATAACAAAGGGGAAGCAACTGGGAACACCAACTCAGCCACGAAGTGGTAGGCCACGTAAAATGAACAGAACGGGGTCAGCGCATGCTGAAACGCAGTGTGCAGAAGTCACCAACTGTCTGCAGAGTAAATAGCTACAGACCTCCAAACTTCGTGTGGCCTTCAGATTGGCACAACAACAGTGCGTAGAGAGCTTCATGGAATGGGTTTCCATTGCTGAGCGGCTGCATCCAAGCCTTACATCACCAAGTGCAATGCAAAGCGTCGGATGCAGTGGTGTAAAACATGCCGCCATTGGACTCTAAAGTGGAGACGTGTTCTCTAGAGTGACAAATCACACTTCTCTGTTTGGCAATCCGATGGACGTGTCTGAGTTTGGCGGTTGCCAGGAGAACGGTACTTGCCTGACTGCATTGTGCCAATTGTAAAGTTTGGTGGAGGGGGGATTATGGTGTGGGGTCGAATTTCAGGGGTTGGGCTTGGCCCCTTAGTTCCAGGGAAGGGAACTCTTAAGGCATCAGCATACCAAGACATTGTGGACAATTTCATGCTCCCAATTTTGTGGAAACAGTTGGGGGACAGCCCCTTCCTGTTCCAACATGACTGTGCACAAGGCAAGGTCCATAAAGACATGGATGAGTGAGTTTGGGATGGAGTAACTTGACTGGCCTGCATAGAGTCCTGACCTCAACCCGATAGAACACCTTTGGGATGAATTCGTTTGGAGACTGCGAGCCCGGCCTTCTCGTCCAACATCAGTACCTGACCTTACAAATGCGGTTCTGGAAGAATGGTCAAACATTCCCATAGACACACTCCTAAACCTTGTGGATAGCCTTCCCAGAAGAGTTGAAGCTGTTCTAGCGCCAAAGGGTGGGCCAACTCAATATTGAACCCTATGGACTAAGACTGGGATGCCATTAAAGTTCATGTGCATGTAAAGGTAGGTGTCCTAGTACTTTTGGCAATATAGTGTACGTAGGCTGGGGAGTCATTTACTGTATATTTTGTAATTAAATTATATTGAAATCCCTAAGAATAACAGACTGA